GAATCTAAATTATCTTTGACTCTATAAAATGTGCCGGGGAAGTATAACGAAGTCGTTCATAACTCAACTCCGGTGAGGTATTGCAATATGTTATAATATAGTATAATTACAATAACTAACGAACGTTCGAATACGCAGTTTTCGCGACTAACGAATTTATCAAAACGATAATATCGTTACGCGAAACCGTTTTATTATCGGCGTGTGTAATTAGTAGTGTCGTGCGGCAGTAATAACGGCAACTCCGAAAAAGTTTGTTCCGCTCGCGGATCCCGCAGTGGCGTATAATTTAAACTCTACATTTTAGAATCGCGAATGACTCGATGCGAGGTGGAATATCGTGTACATAAATATAATCCGGTCCCTTGATACCGAAACGCGTATATGATGGTGGCGTGGAAACTATATATGATCACGAAGACAATTGTTCCGAGTTATATGTTTTGAATTTATAACGCGATGAATATCTTCGAGTTTCGGCCAGGTGATATTGTCCTGCGGGGAACAACGGAGATAATAACAATTTAACAAGACTAAAATCACGCGGTAACATTTTCTGTTTATATATTCCGCTTATCAGTGGCGCAGCCGAGTTTTGCTCACGGTAGCTCGGCGTTTCAATCCGGGGCCCTAAATTGTAACAGTAAGAATAATATGTAGGTACCTACCTGTACCTACAATGTAATCGGTTCAGTTTTTGTTTAATATAGGTATATATGCAATGAACTGCATTTTCTGTAGGCAAAAAATGTAACTTTAAATGCGAATTAATTTCAGGGAAAAAACCGTTAGTTATAAAACTTGTGTACTGCAGGTACCCACTGTAAACTTTAATACTAAACTATAATATTTGCAGATCGTTAATGACGAACCTCGTTGCGAAAACGCCGAAAACTATCATCATCGATCATTTTACAGTACACCTTCATTTTACTGACAATATATAATGTACGTACAAACACAATATTATGTTATAAGCACTTCTGATAATATTAAAATGTATAATGTAAAATAATATTATTTTAGATTCTGAGCGGAGCGAGAAATGTATTGGTTTTACAATGATGTTTATACATTTTTTTTTGTGAACAACTTTTCTACCAGACATTTTTCTCCGATTTTCAAGTGTAGCAACTTTTCTGAAAGAAAATTTTCGTGGATGTTAGGTACTTTATGGAGGTCTTTCTTTTGATTTTCCCGGGAGTTTTAATATTAAATGGGAAAACTGGATAATTTACGAAATTTATTATTTTCAAATCGTAAATATTATGGCCTTTAAAAACATGTAAAACCGAATTCCGTTCAGAATCATTTTTCATTAGCAATGGTTAATCGTTGCTTACATGTATAGTTTAATTAAATTACCTATAAGTTATAACAGATATACATACAATTTCTCCTCTATCTTCCCAACTTCTCATATACAACAGTGGCTCACCCATTGTGCGAAGTGTATCCGTTTGTTTTTTGTAATGAATTTCAAACAAATTTCTGGACACAGGTTTTTGAGATAATACATTACTAATAAGTGAAATGAACGAGTGGGTAAATGCAATACGTATTCAAAATTGCAAGGAAATTTTTAAAGCTGCAATACAAATATATTATGTAACTAAAGTATTGTGTAGAATTCGTTAAAAAGTTTGAATCTATTCCTTCTATGGTTGTGCTACTGTATAGTGCTGACGTTAGGTTTTGCAGGGCCCTAAAATATGCTTTATAATAATGAACTAATGATTGTATACCTTTATAATAATATACCTCGGGACCAAATTAAAACCCAAAAAAGCACGGGACCTTGGACTTATATCTGGACTTAACGGACTTACAGCATTATTATATAGTGACTTCATTGTTTTAAAGAATCTGTAGTTTGTGGACTATTTTAGTCTTTTTTAATTAAATATCAACTTCGTTAAACAACATATTATTTGTCAAGTGCGCATTTAACTTTCTCAAATACACCAAATACGCAGCAAAACCGTGCTAAGCTCTTTCCCGAAATCATTGCGCAGTACAGAGTACTCCAAAAACGTATCGAGGTTATTCAATTATTGTTGAATATAACCAATAATATTTAAAACCATTTTAGTTTTTACAAAATTCTTACATTTCTTTCAATTTAAATTCTCAATAAAATGATATAAATGTTATTGCAGTTTTATAAATATAAATAAATGTATATATATACATTATACATACATATTTATAAACCTATTTATAATGGATCCGCAGAATCATAAAATATTATATTTTATTATTTTTAAAATAAATGAGTGTTGATTTTTTTATGGATCATAAATAAGTTATGCTTTTAATGCTTTCTGGGAAACTAATTGTCACAAGTATTCCTATTCCAGTCAATTCATATATTAAGTGAAATGAAGAAGTAGAGTAAAACTTCCATACAACGATCACCGAAGGGACCCGAAATAATGACCACTATTTAGAGGTAACCGTTCTTTAGATGTTTCCTATAGAGGCATAACACTTGACGAGACCAAAAAAATTAACCGTTACACAGCGGTGATCGTCTTTTAGAGGTGACCGTTAACGGAAGTTTTACTGTATTACGTAAAATAAAGAAATCCGTAAGTGGCAGAGCTCCGTCATTAGAGTAGAATTTCCCTCCAGTTGACTTTTTCCGTTATAATAATTCATTTTAAGACACATCCATTGATTTCGTCTATTCATCCCCTCCATATGTCACGGGGTACTACACCTTTACTGTTTTAAGAACAAAACGAGAATGTAACAATAAGAAATCGAACAAAAAAGTTTCTACCTATATAAAGTAGTTTTTGAGAGTTTTGATAACATACAAATGGTTGGGGTACGGGTTGAAAGTTGAAACCTTCTTAAGGTACATCCTTGACACTTATAATATTTATATATATGATTTTAACTCCGTTAGTCGTTATTACTTTGATGTGTCTGCTGAGGTATTTCTTGTGAAAATATGAAATTTGAGCATACAAATGCTTAAGAAGGGGTTGCAAGTTAAAATCCTATAGAGGCATATTCTCGATACTTATGCCATATACAATGTTTAATTCTTCTAGCTTCATATGGGAGAGGGGAGAGTCAGTAGAGGTAAAAAAACATTTTCAATCTGTAAAAACATAATAGCGTTAAATTCATATTAAAATTCAATCCATTTTTAATTACTTCAATTTACAAAGCAACTTTTATTTTCGAGTTTGAGCTCATTTGGTCCAGAGGAAGTAGCTAGAAATTTAATAAAATACATTGCAATAGACAATAGTCATTATTTATTAAGAAAATTCAAAAAAAGAAAAATATATATTACATTTTTTTTTTCATAATAAGTAATAAATAATTTTAATTTTGGAAAATTAACATACGTTAGTTATATAGGTTGTTAAGTTCCCATGCGCCTCTTTTATACAAAACATGCGTGTATTACCCATGCCGAAATGTTGAATTTCTGTTTGGGGATTTTACGAAAACTACATAATTAATTAAAACGATAATAAAACATTTTAGTAGACGTAAAATTTCCAGTCTTGTTTATGCGAGATAATATGATTATTCACTATGATATTTTCATTACGACGTTAATTGCTTCTACTATATAATATTCTTTAGTCCAGGGAAAGTGGGTTTTTTGAATTCAATTGTTGGATGATTTTTTTTTAATAATTTTCTCTTATAAAATTGTTTCCCTTTATTTTTTTGATCTAAATGATATACGTGTACTTACTGTACCTATTTATATTCTAACACATGTTATACTGAAAATTAAAATATTCTAAACCATAATAATAATTTAAACAGTGTTTAGAACATCTGCATCTAGGTTGGACAGTTAAGAAATTATTTGTATATTTAGTAATTATGTCATTAAAACATTTAATTTGTTTTCATTTAAAACTACGAAATTTACAAAGCCCTTATTCCCTGGGCCCAAAGATATATTTTACTGTTTCAAATTGATCGACAACTCATTAGCGGATTTCCTATATTCTCGGTATACGGTTTTTCGTATCCTCGTATAATTTATTCTCATTTGAAGTTTTGGACGGTTTTAGATGTGCAGTTTTTCTCTACTGCATGCAAAGTTAAAACTATATTATACACGGAATGATAAAAAAAAAAAAACTTATAACTGTGGAAAACTTTTCCATCAGTAATTTTCCTCCAAATTACTATGATAGCACTTTTTTTGAAAGGAAATCTAACTGGGGTGGTATTTTAGAGAGGTAATTTTTTGAAAAAGCATTGCAAAACCGAGAAAATGTAAGAAAAACGGAAAAATAAGTACAATATTAAACAAATAATATTAAACAAACTATATAATGCATGTGTAATTACATATGTGTTATTTTACTATAATATGATACATACATTGCTGACAAAGCAACACTATCAACCGAACTGCGGTCAGAATCGTTTTTTCGTTAGTAATGGTTTATTGTTACTTACAGATATAAGTACATTAAATTTCCCCTCTACTACCTTCTCAACTTTTTATCTATAACAGTGGCACCGGTCCCTATTATACTAGGACAGATTTTGTTATATTATTATAACGCTTATACAACAGCGTATATTTTTTTTACACTAAAATTCGTGTTGTGTTAGCCATACAAGTATAATGTAAGACTCCAGGGATTTGTTATAGTGATATTAAATTATGAGAATCACTTTAAGCTATAACAGTAATAATAAATAATATATAGTCACTAATCTATTAAACTCCTTGAGGTCTCCGAGTCTTCATGGTATACAGGGTGATGCATTTAAGTTGTTGCACTCAATATTTCGAAAAGTATTAACTTTTTTAAAACATTTTTATTAAAAATTTTGATTATTTAAGAAACAAGTAGCTCAAATTATTACGTATGTATTATTTTATGTTATCTTTATTTTTACGAGTGAAATGATTGTCTAATTTTAAGTAGATTAACATTTTATAGCTGCTTTTTTTTAAATTTTTAAACAAAAATGTCTGAAAAAAGCCATTATTTTCGAAATATTTAGTGTAGCCAATTAAATGGATTGGCGGGTGGTGGTTCTATGTTTTGCTCTACTGGGATACGTTCTTCTATGATTGTACTTCCACAAGATTGTTTTAATAGAACTTTAAATATTTTTTCAAACTCATCTACTATTTTTACGTTCTCGGTCAATGAGGTTCCATTTTCTCTTTTAATCATTGTTGTTTTTCGTTTGAATCTAGGTTTATAACTTCGGTGACTTTTCTAAAAATGATTTGGGCGTTATTTATTTTCTACTGCCTCTAACAATTTATAATACTTCCGTTGCTTTTTCGTAACGTATAATATCAAATTTTTAGTATAAATTATTCTCTGAATTTAAATTAGTTTGAAACGAAATTAAATAATTGCATTCGTTTCAGGCGAATGTATAGAAAATTTAATATTTTAAAGTACACGATATTCGAAATTTGTCTGTCGGATTTGCCAAGTCATATATTATCAAGACATGACGCACCTACTCTATCATAAAATATTATATTGTACGTAAAATAATAACTGCAGTAGGTACGAAGATAAGAATAAAACTCTTTTCCGTTATAATATTATTCTGTATACGTTGTGTGGCGAATAACGCGTTATCATATATATTTTAATATATTCGTTACCCATAATATTAATATTTTCATTATCAACGATATTTAATATAAAAGTTTCGCGTCTTCTTGGTAGATTTAAACCACTGTAATTTAATATTAATATTATGTACGATAGTATATATACAAGTTAGGCCACGATGATGTTTTTTCGTGTTAAATTGGAAAAAGGAAAAACAGGAAACCGCATTTTGTATAATATACTGTTTATAATGAAGACGAATACTTTATTTTACAATTTTATTAATACTAAAATATAATAATACAATTTTTCATAAATATTGTTGATGTATATGCTATAAAAATGAAAGGCTGCCGCCACCATTTAGGAGGGAAGTAGGAAGGGAGGAGATATATATGGTAATTTAACTTATATTTGTACGTAACGATAAACTATTTTTCTCAATGCTATCAAAAAATGATTCTGAGCAAAGTGTTATTAGTAGTATTTTTTCATTGTTACCAAGGAACCCAGAAATAAATAAGAACTTTAAAGATAATTCAAACCTCCCAATACATCAATAATTAGATCAAAACAACTACGAGAAAATTCTTAAACAATTTTTTGATTTGAGCAAGTTTTGAGTAAAGTTGTTCCAGATAAATAAAAAAAACATTTCATAGTAAAACCAATATGTATTATTCGCTTCACTCTTAAGCTAAAATATAAATTCGTTATCTAATATTATTATTGTAATCGATTGTAATTCTTAAATAAACTGTCGCATATTAAAACAGAACAGTCAATTTAATAATTTAATCAATGACTCTATTATCCGTTATACAAAAGTCGATCCGAAACATTTTCTTTTGTTAGGTATTAAACTGTCTGCTCGACTTTAATATGTGTTCCATAATAAAACCTTATTATTAATAAATAACGCGTTTAATGCCATAATAATATTATTGTTTTTGAATTGAGTATATATATAGGTAGGTGTTTTTATTGAATATATATTAAGGTTTTTTTTTTTTATCGGCGTGTTAGTATAGTTATAATTATATCAAACGTAATTAGTTTCTTATACTTTACCGACACAAACTTGAACGATTCGAGGCCTTTAAATTTCACAGCATCGGTAAATTAGAATTTTAAGTTTTTGTTTTCTCGTGTGTTGGTGCGCGGTGCGCGCAATTGTGTTCGAAACCTAGTCGTTCGTGCACACCATTATAGATTTTCGGACTTCGAGAGAAGAATGTCTAAACGTCTTGCGTATATACAGAGTGACGGTGATAGTGTGGTGCCGTGGCTGCGTGCGTGTGACGAAAACGACATCTGCTGCTGCTGAAGGGATAAGACGGGTCTTTGGGGCGGGAGGGGGAGAGGGAGAGGGTTGTCGGGATTTGATTGTTGTGTTGTGTTTTTTGCGCGTGTAAACATCTGCCGGCGACCCGAGACCGAGCCGGGAAATAGCGACAGCTGCAATAATATACGCGTCTCGCTGTATATACAATAAAAGTTAACTACCATGGCTGCGTGTCGGGCAGCTTTGCAGCTACGATATATATATTATATGTATACTACCGAAAGTTTTCAAAAGGGGTGTAAAAGAGAAAATGTCGCATGCTAATCAACCAAAATCCTTACGACGACTACTGTACCACAGCTATCTTGGGCCAAGACTCTTGGCCGTTTTGGGCGTGTTGACTTTATTGGCAGTCAGCTCAGTGATGGCTCCAAAACTTAATTTGAGGCGAGAGGGCAATACTATATACAATTTACTACATTGAAAATTATTATATAAATTGTATAAGTTTTTTTTTCTAAATAAATATAAATTAAAGATTTATTTTTTCATCAATATATGAATATTATAAACTATAAATATATATCACTAATTTTTAATTAATAATTGTAGAATCAATATTTATAAAAATGTCCCACTTCCGGGCATGTGCCTACTCGTGTCCAATCTAAATACGGGTCGGTGGGGGGGAGGTGTACATTTTCCTATTGCCTTCTTTCCTGAATCCACCACTGAGTTAGCTGGAAGATATTAGCTTTCTATAAAATAATTTATTTGTGAATCTCAAATGAATTTTTATACTTGGTACTTAGTATTCGGTGATGGAAAAAAAGTGGAACGTAATGTGCTTGATTTTTTTAAGCATTTTAAATTCAAATTTATACGAAATCATAAAATTTCGTGAAATTTCGAAATATGTGGAATCGAACTTTGCTTAAAATTGTTTTTGTTAGCAGTAGTTTATCATTGCCTACGTATATAAATTAAATAATTGTACGTAATATCTTACCTTCTCTACTTCTTAACCATTACAATGACACACTCATACAGGAGTATATCAGATTTTTTTTTTTTTAAATCCGTATATAACGAGTACGATTGTAATTTTATTGAGGTCGTATTGAAATTTTTTAATGACTTTTACGTTTCTATATACATATTCACAAATCGTTTTGTAAATAATAATTGTATTCTTCGATTCACTATTCACTAACAAAATATACTTAAGTAACAGTTGACGTATACGTGGTCTTACGACCGTTTTATTACGCCAATGAGACAATAAAAATATTATCGTTATAAAATTACTACTTGACGACACTGATATTCTCGAGACCGAGACGCATTATGCATACATTTTAGCTACGGGTGTGTGCAACGGTTTCTGACTTTTGCGGCCCTCACTTATACGACTCGGAATAAGTTTTTCGGCGGTGACCTTTTATTAAAATAATTTTGTTCAAATGTAAGTATCCATAGTATAATGTAATAACCTGCGGGGATTTCGTATTTACTTTATAATATTATACCCGACTTGCACAAATATTTATGTCGAATTCGTTAATATAAATGTTCGTTGCTTATTATAGTTATTATACATATTTGTTCGAGTACACGAATATATAATATTAATATCGTGTTATTATATTCCGAAAGGGCCAATTTGGAGTAATTTTTTGTTTTAGATTTATTTGATGAGAATAAATGTGTTTTTATCAAAATAGGTAGGTATGTATACCTACAGAGGGTTACTTTTACAAATCTGAAACATACAAATTTGGAATTCAGAATTATATACATTCTAGACTTTTACCTATACATTCTGTTTTTACGTGTTCCCCTTGCTCCCCTTATGGCTTCCCTCGCTTTCCTTATGGCTCCGATTCTGCAGGTAGGTAGACGTCTATAAAGTTGAATATATTTACACATTTTATAATTTGATTTTTAAACTGGTACCGCTTTTGACCGTTAGAATTTCGACCATTTTATGATGTGGTTATGTGATGTGGTTATTATGATATCGATTTTGAAAATCACAACGACGTGAATAGTATTATTGCGTATATACGCGTATCGGAACACAATTGCGTTTGCGTGATTAATCCCTTGTTAATCGGTTACGGGCGATTAAAAATACACCGCATTAATTTAAAGTTTAATGGAAATTAGTGGTTAGGCAGTGGTATTATATACATGGTATTAAATATTCAGTATAATATTGATAATGGTATTAACATGACGGACAAACAAAACGCTATATATTTTCCGTGAAAATAATAAAACATTTTCCTGGACAACCTCGTGAATTATTATTCATATATATATATATACAGCGTGTTCGCTTGGAAATATTATTACATGGATACGTTTTAACTGATGGAACCTGTGGGTTAAAATAATGACACTATTGTGATGAAACTTTATGTATTCGTGGCGTCAATATCAAGAATGTGTCTTTTGGGGTTTTTGACTTTCAACTTCCTCCCCCATAAGCATCGGGTATAGGTGGGGAAAACATTTTAGGATTCACGCCTTGGGTTCTAGTCACAAGGGGTACAAATTAAATTTAGAAGGTCAATAAAAACCAAAAAGGTAAATTATTCTTGTTGGTAATTTATAGAAGCGATAATATAATGCTTTACTACTGGGGTCATATAATGTTTTGGTTCGGCGCTATCCCCTCTCCACTATTTTATGTTCTAATAAAGCATTTCTCTTATGAGAGCAAAGCATGTTCTCTCGAAATATTCTGTACATCAAAATAATATTCTGAGTTCAAAATATCTCATGGTCAAATTATCCCATACAGAAATGCCTCGTAAGAAATATCCCTTTAAATGTACTTATTATATTTTAATAAATATACATCAATCTCAGTAATGTACCGACATTAATTACTTGTGACTTAGTGATAGGGAAAATAATAACATTGTAATTATATAACAACGAATAATAATGATAGTTATTAAACAAAAAGGATAATAAAATATACAACTTAATATTTCGAGATGTGTTTTGGATAAAATATTAATGTTGAAAAATTCGTATAAAAAATCGTATACAAACGACTGATGTTAAATGTAAACATTACACAAATATAACCACGGTATATAAAATCCGTACGTATACGTTTCTCCAGTCCCCAATAGACTTTTTGGTATTTGTCCTGTTATTATTTAGTATACCAGTTTTGTACATATTTGTACGAAAAGCGTCATAGTTTGTATGATCAATGTGATATACAGTAGTTTCAGAGGAATTTGCATAAGAACTGGGCAGGGGGCAGGGGAGCTGGAGAAACGTGTGCGTAATATCC